GCCGGAGGGGGAAGGGGATATCCATTTTCAATTACTGTTTCCCTCTAGAATGTGGTCTCTTCATCTACCGACACCGAGTTAAAGTTTCCTCGAATCCAAGTTAGAAGAGATGTTCTCATATTTCGTTTGCGATTTATGGGCACTTAATTGAGCATGTAATTATAGCCAAGGTAGGGGAAGGAGTGTGGACTAGACTCTCAGTTTGTTTCAGAACACCTGTAGCATCTATGATCTGTATATTTATGACATAATAGTTGTTTCCAACATTTTCCTCTCATGAATACCTTGAATTTTTTGTTTGTTTGATTATTCATCACTTAACAATGAACACATGGAACAAATTATTTTTATTTCTTTCTAAATGATAGAATCTTTTTCCCCCTATCCTAATTCTTTTCTTTCGGCTGTTTTATATTTTCTACACGTTTAGTTACAACAGCGTGCAGTTGAAGCTGTCAAGACAGAAATTCCAGGTGCATCAATTCAAGCCGATTTTACATCCTTCCCATCAGTAAAATTAAAACGTCTATTTAATGCTGAAAATAAGGAAAATCTTCCGCTACGTTCTCGTTTAGTATTCCCTGGTGGAGATGATTGTAAAATGAATCCAACAAAAGTTTGCATGACTAGAGAAGATCAACAGATTCTACATTCACATTTACTTAAATAAATGCCTGTTGTTTTATCATTTGTTGTTGTGTTTTTTTTGCGGGGGGTTAAAGTTTACTTACCAGTCAATCCTGAAGATATTTTTTACTTCCTACTTATCATTAATACTTTTATTTACAATGACTATTATACGCGCATACATACTTCTACACATAATATATTATAAACTTGTAATTCATGCAATGGTGTTGTAGTGTTTATGACAATGTAATCTCCTTTATTAATATCTTGACTAAGAAGACGTCTTTTACTTTCTTTTCATTCGTTGACGTCATTTTTAAATGCCAAGAGTTTCCCTTTTTTTCATGGTTTCATGGTTCTCCTACGATTAACTGTGTTAATTAATAATAATAATTTTTCTCTCCAATTTAGTGTGGAAAATACGGCAAAACATCGCCATTTCACTCCGTTCCCTACAGTCTTTTCTAACTGGCTCCACAATCGCCTATATAAGCTCTTACCTCAACTACACACGATCTCCATAACAAGTCACTCTTGGAGGCCCGAATCGTCTTTTGCCATCCGAGTTTCACTCGAGGGTATGCCTGGCGCGTGATATCACTCCATTGTCTCTTCAGTGTATGTTCAATATATTTCCATTTTCTCCTACTTATTGGTGGGGTAGTAGGTTCTTGGTTGGTTCGTTGCCACAGACCCATGTTGTTTATACACTTTCTGGCCATCTGATATCCAATAACGACAGGTAACCATTGATAAAAATATGACGCTCCAATTCTCTGAACCATGTAGAATCGCTCAGTGTGGGCATTAATGTTGTTAATTCACATGTCATTCCTCGCGCTGAGTGCAGGAAATTTCCACAATGTAATATCAGAGTAATGAAGGTGTGTCTTGCTTTTTCGATTCTGTCCTTGATATCTTCATCTGTGCCGACGCGTGTGTTTGAAACGACACCGCCTAGATAGATGAAAGAGGTGACTTCCTTCAGAGATCTCTCATTGATGGTAATTCATGCTTGTTATTGGTTAGGTGTCTTTATAACCTGTCTTCTTTATGTTCACATGAAGTTTTGACTTCTTTGCCACTTCTGGCAACTTGTTGGTCTTCACCTTTAAATTGTCGAATTTGTGTAACACAAACATACATCATCCTAAGAGTCCAAATCTTCTAGTGTCTTTACCTTGGTTCACAAATTAAAATAACGAAAAGGATTTCCAACAGGTTGCAGACTTTCACCAACAGCTGCCTTCGTTCCATACTGAAGGTCAAATGACCAGAAAGAATAAGCGACAAGAAACTATGGGAACAAACCAACCAAGAGTTGATCACTCAACAAATATGTAGGAGAAAGTGGAGATGGATCGGGCATACATTGACGAGGCCGCTGAATGACATCGCACGCCAGGCTCAGTGCTCGATCGGAATCCAAATGGGAAGTGACGAGTGGGTCGTCCTAGGGTGATATGGAGGAAGACGAGATGAGTGAGTATGGTCAACCGTAGACCCAGCTGAAGATGACAGCAGAAAATAGAATAAAGTGAAGATGTGTTTTTGAAGCCCTATGTTCCACTCGGAACGCGAGGGAATAATAATAACCTGATGACTACTAGCATATCTGTCTATCCCATTAGTGTATTAGTCAAAGCCTATCGATCATTTTCGCAAGTGATTATTTAATTTAGAAGAATATTGATGGCGGGATTATTTGCGACAAACTACCAGGTTTAATGAAAACCATGAGTGCAGGCTACTTGCACAAATATAATACCATAACAATTCTAATTCTATGTACGCAACACACATCCGTCATATTGAAACGTTAGGAGAGGAAAAACTTAGTATCTCTATATGGCCGAATTATGTACACCTGATCTTCAACGCACCATCTGTACAGATCTTCCGTGTTGTACCACTACTCGCCTTCATATTGTGTTTCTTTGTGTTCTTTTCACGTTCCCCATGTATCTAGGCAACGCTGTATCATTTGCTTTCTCTGACATCGAATCTCCCTGCTGTCCGATGTTTTTATGCCGATGAACCTCTATTTATATACTACTGGTAAATCTTATCAGTAGCACACGCCACAATCTATAATGATATGTTAATTTTTTTCACACTAAATGGCTTAGATTTTCATTAAAGGTATTTTAATATGGCAATGATAGCCTTTTAATGTGCTAGTGAATTCATCAAACTAATTTCTATGATGTTCTCTTTGTGAGATTGTTATTTTTACCGAGAAGAGTATCTATTCAAAAAAGATCCTCCTCCATGTTACATATAAAGGTAATATTGTATGAAGATAATATAAACGAATGAAGAGGATATATATATATATCCTTCCATATACACGTAGAGTTGAAAATTGCACCATAGAATTAATTATAATCCGGAAATAATTAAGAATCGAATGAATATTTAAGTGTTGGTTTGTGGGGATTCGATCGGTTACAGGTTTTCATCATGAGTTGACATCGGTTAGAGAGCCATTGGAAAACCTGCAGGGAGTGCTGGACAATACTTTCATCCTAGTTTGAAATTCTTCATCAGTATGCAGCCACCACAGAGGTTCGAATCCAGAACCTTCCTGTCACAAGGTGAGCTTGCAGATCACTAAACCAATGGGAACCGATCTAATGGCCAACACTTTAATTCCAAATCCTACCGACTCATGATATAGGACGACCACCAGCCAATGTCATCACTGGCGAGTATTTGTCCTCACACCCAACCTGTTTTACCTCCTCACTGGTCACTACTTCTCACTAGAACCCATGTAACTATCCCCCCCCCTCTGAATAGCTCCAGTCGCTACTGAACATCAGATTGATTTTCAAGTGTTGGTTTGCGGGGATTTAATTGGTAACTGGACTTCATTTTCAGAAAATTGCATAGTCGAAGTTAATCAGCTTATCGATGAAATATATTCATGAATGAGTATTAAGGGTTAGAAAACACTAAATAAACATTTATCAATACAAAACATAGTATCACTCAGTGAAGATATTTATTATTCGTCTGAGCTCAATGGAGTAAGTGCTTTAAATTAGCTCTAAACTGTTTATTTTCTTGGGATATTTTTTCTATGTATACATATGACGCGTGTTCTTGACTAAAAATTTCTATGTAGTATATTGTATGACCTCTTCTGTGTGAGTCTTGTAGAGAGAGAAGCGATGGATTAATTTGCAAACACGAGGAATGAAGCTAAAATTGTTAGACAGCGTAGAAATCATGACATAGTGAGAAGAGAAGCAGAAAACGGTTCCTTTAGTCAAAAGCTTCATGCAAATATTCGTAACAGTTAATAGTAATGGCAATTTCGTCAAACCCAAGCTATTTTCTGGTCAGTCGAAAAATTTACTCAGTACAAATGAAGGAAGAAACACCAGTTACAAATGATAGAAACAGAGTTTACGTAGATACTTATAACTCGCAACTGCTGGTGAAACTTCGAAGTTCGAGGACCTATGTTCCGCTCGGAATGCAAGAGAATGACGCTTAAATGATGACTTTCAAATCAATAAACCTGAAACGTGTAGGTTCTAATCCGTGTTGTGCATAAATATAGCTATTGTTCAAGAGGTGCAAGCTAAAGCGAAACGTTGGTGTGGTAAAACAACATTTTTACTACGTTGTTAGCTACTGGTGGTTCGTAATAAATGCTGACTTAGAATTAATAAATTCCATACAAGGCGTCCAAGCAGTTGGTTAAATACGACTTTTAAATTCACTGTGATTGATCACAAACTAAATTGATTTAGAGAAGCGTTGAAAATCAAAGAACATCTCTCTCCTCTCTTTTGGGGGACACTTAGTAGTGTGTAGTGACCCGTTTTATTACTCATCATCTCAGTATACTTTCACTATGTAATTGGACTTTGATTTGTTTATCACTCTAAACATTGCGTGTTAACAATTGATACTTTTGTACTCGCTCGACTTTTGAATTTTGATTGCTGCAATAATACACTATCGTATTCCTTCGCAAGTGCCTTTTGAATTACGTTGTGGATGTCGAGTAATCACAACGTTAGCACACAATTATAAACGCGAAGAAGTATTAGGATATACGTATACGCTAGTTTAGTCAAAATATAGCAGCACAACAATTGGTGAGCCCGACATAGCTGATCGATCGACTACATCATTTCGAAGTATTCACACAGTGGATTTAATCATCTTCGCTATCGTATTAACTTTCTATAACTGCATTACATTTGGATATATATTTACTGATATTTTTGCTTAAAGTACCTCCGGTAAGCTGACTATTTTTGGACATTTTTGAACTTACCTATATTCTGTTCTGTTTTTGCTCACTTTTTGTAATTTTTCTATCACCTATATATATTCTTTTCTGCACTTTTATGATGTCATTTAATACTGACAACGACACTTTGAGTACAAGGTCTGTGGCTGCAGTTACCATATCCATACCACCTTTTAAACCTAACGACCCATATTTGTGGTTCACTCGCCTGGAACACTACTTCCTAGCTAACCACGTCACTTCTCAGACTACAAAATTTGGCCTTGCAAGCTCCATATTACCTGACCATATAGCAGAGCAAGTACGAGAGACGCTCATACATCCAGAAACTCCATACGATGTTTTAAAGCAGAAGGTTATTAAGGTTGCTTCGTTATCAGATCAGAAAGCTATCGATCAGCTACTCAGCAATGTTAGCCTGGGCGATAGAACACCTTCTCAACTCAAAAGCCATATGTGTAACATTTTAGGAGATCGGAAGGTAGACGCCAGGTTTTTCTATCAATTGTGGCTAAGACGATTACCCCACAACATTCAGAAAGTATTAGCATTTGGACATGAAGACATAGATATTGACAAGTTGGCAGAAATCGCTGACAAAATGTATGAACGGATATCTCCACAAGTAACATCTGTAGTCGACAAAACGTCAAACGAACGCATAGAAGCCTTAGAACGTAAAATCGACGTGCTCACCGAGCAATTAATGACAATGAGGGTTAATAGACAACCTACCACAACGTACAGAAGACAGCGTAGCCACAAAGCAATATGCGTAAATATAGCTTACAACAGACTATATGCTGGTATGACATATTTCAGGGCATGACGTCCAAACTTCCTATGATACCAACATATATTGCTGTCCCTAGAAGACATGCGGGAACGCTGTCGGGAGTGAGATCGTCTATGTGATTGTGACCGTGCTTGTGAACTCCGCCTCTCGACTCGTCGATCAGATCTAGGTGTTTCCAACTTGTCAAGCCTTGCCGCTAAGTCTGCAACGGCGGCGAGTATTGGTGACGACATTATAGGTGTGAGAATATTGATACAAAGGGGAATACAAATATGAAACCACCAACAAAAAATTGCAATGAAAGTACAAAATAGCAAAAATAAGTATATAGATACGTGAAAATAATCCGTGTTCCAAAACGGGCTCACCAATTAATTTGTAGGGGACTTATGTTAGAGTTCACTAGTATTACGAAATATGAGAAATAAAATTCAAGTCAATGGAATGTTAAGTAGCAGTATATTACCAAAAATGTAACGACACGTTATATCAACAAAAGGGTTACTTGGAAATAAGGTTTAAGTCCTCTGCTACAAATTATTTATATATCCCACGGAGACGTTAATTGTTTAGACGGAGTAGGTTGTAGCTGCTGTGTCCCGGTTGTATAATTGTCTTCGGTTGAGCGTAGTGGATTTCTACAATAAATCCGAAAGATACAACACGGTGAGAGCTGAGCTAGTAAGCCGAAGAAACCAAGGAGAAGACGAAGTCTCCAACAGCAGAGTGTATTTTCGGGTGAGGATGTGTTCTATGACGTGTTAATTTTTCCGCGCCTCAGGTTTTCTCGTCTTTCATTGGCTGGAACAGTGGTGGCTAATTTGATATTTAATTTGTCCTTGTTAGGTGATGTCGTTGCAGGTTTGTGTGCTTGAGGTATGCGTTGTTTACAAGCATATTTGATGAAAATAAATGTAAAATTTGAGTATTCTAACGTTTTCTTTTACTTATTTGTGCATGTACAAGGCTTGGCTTATCATACACTCGGTTTGTTGGCCTATCGGTTGCTGGCGATGTCAAGGAACCCGTGAGTTCTTTGGCTTTTCTCGATTTTAGGTTATACGTGCAGCATTTTATCGGTGGATATTGCTCAGTGATGTATTTCAATGTGGCTTTTTCTACGGAATTATATTGAATCAGTCGTGAGACAGATGGACACTAATTGACAAAGCCTTTTTAGTTTATTTCAGGTAGCCAATGCGAGTGGGAGCATTATTTATCCTGTAATATTGTGTGCATAATTCTATTTTTGTTTACTCTTCCACCTTTTGTAGTTAATAATGTGCTGCCTAAGTGTCAACGATGGACATGGTCTCGTAACTTGTGCGCATCCGAAAGCGGGAGAAGTAATCGCACAAATGGACCATTTTCTTAATATGTAAACAAACTAATGTTGTATTATAATAAATATGAACTTTTCATATAAATCTTGTTGTCTTTCAATTCATGTATTCGCTTTGTGAGCACGGCATGCTAGACCGGTGCTCCCTAGGACTTGAACTCGTTACTATACTTAAGTGTAATTCTGTAGGAACACTATCGACCGATATGCGTGGTGAATTATAAGTAGTTTAGTGGCCCTTAAGTCTCTGTCAACAGTTACGTGAAAACGTCTCATAGTCATACGCAAGTCTGTATGGAACAATGACAACAATAGGTAGAACTTAGGCACTGCATTGCAGTTCCAGTTCGTATACGGTTAGGTGTATTCCAAATCAGTGTATTACTAATATTTAAATTAAAGCGTTATAGCAGTCCCTGTGATAACGGGTGTTGACGTATACTGTAAAATTAAGTTTACACATAACGAATAAATAAGTAGGTTGAGCTGTAGCAGTCGTAGTAACATTCCGCTTACGTTTAATTATGCAGTCAAATAAATCATCAAGTATCATTGATAAGTCTGACATCTGCATCTTTTCATGCAAAAAAACTTAGTTTCACTCAGATAGAATAAGAAAAGTATTGTAAGCAGGATGTTAAATCTATTTAATGAAAAAAATAAGCAAATGTCTTTACACAATTGTTTTTCGTAATTATTTCGCCCATGTTGAATTGCTGTGACCAAGTTGACTGACATTACCGGATATCTGTAAATAAGTGAAGAAAGTGTATGTTTTTAAATCGCTGAAGTAAGGAAGAAGTAATGTTAAAGTTAAACGCTTTAAATTTCCATACCTTTACTGAAAAAGGTTCATTTTCCTTTTTCATTCTTTGGTGATGACAGCATTCTTCTGTATTTTTTAATGTCACACAGAGATTGTTCGTCTAATACAGTATAGCAGCAAGCAAATAATAAGTGTTAACTAGTAAACCATTCACAATGAACACTGTACAGAAAACTTCATCACATCTTCACTTTAACCAACTTTTCCTTCACGCACAGAAGCATGCAGTCACTACATACACTCAAGCATTGTAACCTGAACATCACAAAATCCCTATAGATAACTTCTTTCATAATAAATGATTTAAACATATGAGCCATAAGTGCATCTTCCATTTCCTTCATAGCCAGAAGTAATTCATTAAGGATCTCAGAATATCTTAGTGATCTGAACACGAACGATTGTTAAGACTGGGATAACTTATGTAACAGGTGCAGTAGTTGTAGGACACACCTGCTAGCTACTAATCAACAGAAAATTGATACTAATTTTAAGTAGTCTGACATTTCAGGAGGACCATCTGCACTATTCTTCGTAACCCCATGCACACTGATATACACATAATCTGATGCCATTTTTGACAATGAACAATTAAAGCCTTCTGACATTCCAAGTGCAAATGTCAATTAAAGTAGTATCATATCTTCGCCTAAGCAATTTTAAATGGGAACTTCATCAAAGTAGTTATAATCACCAGGAAATGCAGCAGCCTGTCTCATTCATTGCATGATCTCTCCCATGTGCTATGGAATATTTCAGCCATCACAGATGATAAAAGAAGTGTCTGACATCCTCAAAACACACATCTAACTTATGTCTCTAGGCTATTTCTCTTTCAAATGCACCATTCTCATAGAATAACTGGGATGACAACAGCCATTGCCTGCAGTCAATTTACAACCTTAAGATCTGAAACAACTCACAAAAAACAATGCCTAAATGCTCTAAAACCCTAATAATGGACTTTTTATGCGATATTTCTTCAAAATGATGACTTTTTTATTAGTAATTCGTCTAGGCTGTCATGACAATTTTACGCATTACTACGAACACAATACACAAAAATATTGCATTTTTCGGCTACAAAAGCTTAAAACTAGTCAAATAGAACCTATTTTCACAATACTGAGCGGTTAGAACGTCTCTATAGGCGTGAACGCGATAACCCATGCAATGCGCGAAAACACCTTATCATAGAACATAGCCTCACTCGTATTTTCCAAAATGTACACGGAAGCCAAGGGTATTTCAACAAGAAGCGTTTTAAACAAAAATTATGTACAATATGTCTAATTTCTACAAATAACCAAAAAGAGTACAATCACATTGTTACGCACTCCACAAGTATAGCATCCCTTTGTATTCGTTCATTGTTTATTATACAACTTTCCTCTGATGCATAATGACTCATATAGGAAACACTGGGCGAGGATATTATTACATATTGCATATATATTTACATTAATGAAGTCTATAACCTTACTCATTCCACTAGTTTACTAGCTGGTCCCAAGCCTCGTAGAACCTGGAAGGTTGGGTGTAAGGCTAGCGATCCGACCGCGAAAAATCAATCCAGTTGCTACAGAAACTCTAAAGTACAGCGAAAACATTAAAATAAAGTTATATTCTTCTGAGATCGGAGAGAGAAAATGACACAGGCTGGTCATATACTTCGGGAAGCCAGTAAGCCGATGTGTCTTGTAATGAGTGAAAATAACCTCGACGACATGGATTACCTTACTAATCTTTGAGGCTGGGAAGGTTGCATAGACTGCAGAGTAAATGAGAAGATGTGGTACAGAAATGCCAGGAAGGTGTGAAAGTAAACGGAGTGGAAGTGGACTGTGTAAATTTTTAAATGCGCAGTCAATTATCTACTCCAATCACTCAGACCATAACGACGAGTACACTTCAAGGAGTGGCTATCATGATGTCATTAGTGGCACTGAAGACTATCATCTAGTGCTGATCGATCTCCAGCAGGGTAATGACAGCATAATGGACAGATAGACTTCACTGCAATCTGACCACATTAGGAATAAAGGCTGGTGGATGCAAAACAATAAACGTCGGAGATAATAATGCATATATATTTCACATAAATTAAGCATTTACGTGATTGACATACCGTTTGTACGGGCATGATCATATCTGACAAGTGCAATTTGAAATGGAACACTGTTTTATGACATTAAAAACTGGAAAGATGGGAAAAAACCTCTAGAAACTTTATTAGAATAGATTACAATATATTGGTTCAAGTCTAAATTATAATCTATAACATACTTATAGTCAGTCAAATTCATGCAGGAATTACGAAATGTTGCGTTAATGGAAGGTAAGAAGAGATGTGGTACACAGGTGCTAGAGTAAGACACACAAGATACAGGCCTTGTGATCATTATCATTTTATCAATTAATAAGGGTTCAAAAATGTATAAAACTCCACATTAGAGGGTAAGTACAGCATTATTTTGGTATTAACAGACACAGGGGAC